AGCTATGGCACTGTGCTTCTATCACACATATCTACCTGTTTAACTGAGCACTGACGACACGACGTCCACCTTTCTTATGCTAATGAGCTAGACAGTGCTAGTTGGCTAACTAATCTACATACTGATAGCTAATTTTAGCAAAAACGCTTGCTAACAATTCATGCAGATTAGCTAGCTAGATAGCATGTATATCTGTTATCCTTTACCCATCTTAAAAATGTGTTTCTCTTTTCAATACAGACAGGGTTAGCACATAGCATATCTAAGTACAGGGCGGGACATAGGAAGGTTCCATTAGCATGTAGTCTTGAATGGGAATTGGGACAGAGCTCCTGTACTTTGATGTTTTCTCACTGAACTACTGGCTGTTAGAACTTTGTGTGAATGAGTTCAGAATGTGTGTAAGTCCTCCCACTGCTCTCTGTTCGCTCTACCTTCGTCCTCCGAGCAGCTGTAAGACTAACTCCTCATCTTCAGCCAGAGATAGACCAGTGTCCAAGGCTGTGTGCTCCTCATCCTGTTGCCTCACTTTCTTCCTCTTCCCCACAGTGAGCTCCTCCTCTTCCTCATCACTTCTCTCACTGCTGTGCTGCCGTTTGGCCAACCTTATTTGATCCTCCTCCTCCTCCTCCTCCTCCTCCCCCTCCAAACGCAGTTTGTCAGGGTCTGGCAAGGTGCTGGGGTCAAACTCGTCTTCGCTGTGATTGGCCAGATACGCCATCACCTCGTCCTCCTCATCGTCGTCAGATTTCTGCCCGTTCTTCTTGTTGGCCTCCCTCCTGGCTGCCTTCGCCTTCAGCCTCTTCTCTCTGTGTTTGGCTTTCACTTTGCGGCTGTACTCCTGCTTGTCAAACTCCTGGTCCTCACGTTTCAGCCTCTCCCTAGCCTTCTCCACGTTGATACCTGAAACCTCCTCCTCCTCCTCCTCTTCTTCTTCCCCATCACCGGTCACAGCTCGCTGGACTGGCGGCCACAGCTGCACAGCCTCTCCTTCTTCGTTGAAAGTCACTTTGGTGTTGACTTGGAAGTTTCTCTTGAGGGCCTTTTTGGCTTCTTTGAACTTTGTCTCTTTTTCCTTGTTCTTTTTGTCCGTGGCCAGTTCATCTGCACTCTCCAGGTCCTCTGCACTCCCCTGGTCCCCTGTCAGATTGAAGACATCCTTTCTTTTGACCGTCAGCAGGTCCAAGTCCCTCATATCGTCCTCATCCTCGTCCTCTGCACCCAGAAGTAGCGCCTTGGAACGATCCAGCTCTGGTTCATTACCACTTTCCTCATCATCACCTGAGTCTTCGGAATCAGAGCTCTGCCCTTCCTCACAAGGAACGCTTCCACTCAGCTGGGCCTTGAAGCTCTTCAGCGCCTCCTCTTCCTCAGACTGCTCCTCCTCTCTCTGCCCTCCTTTTTCAGCTCTCTGTGCCTGAGCTTTATTTAAGAAACGCACTCTCGGAGCCACAGCGAGGCCCAGAGAAATTGCGTACTCGTGAATCTGGAGTTTAAAGACATCAAACACCTCTTTGTTCTTCATCAGGTAAATGGAGCGCAGGTAGGAAACAAAACACCTCTGGGCTCTCTCCTTCTGCTCCTTCTCCTGGGCCAAGAAAGCCTCCAGCTTCTGCTGGATATTCTGCAGTTTGTCTGCGTTCACCTGGAATCAATCAGACAATACATGAATGAATACAGATGTTGTCTCCTGCTCTTTACCCATGTATAACCAGTTTCTTCTGGCGATCAAAGTATAATACATATATGTCTTATATAATATTATAGTAACTGAAGTAAGTTGAAAAGTGATGTAAATTCTGATGCAGTCTGTTGGAAGGGACAGCAACGTTTGTGCTTCCTTAAGAAGTTAAATGCTTTTAATGTGGACAGGAAGATGTTGTGCTTGTTGTATTAGTCTTGTTGAATCTGTTCTCACTTTCCCTGTGATTGCTTGGTACGGTAACCTGAACATAAAGTATAAAACCCACCTGAACCACATTGTTAAAGGTGGCTGGCAAGGTAATTCAGTTCTGTACCCATCTTTGATCAGCAGGTTGTCTGCGCGGCCAGATCCATACTGGACTGTACAAACCTGCCCCTTCCCCTTGAGCTGGAAACTCCTCCCTCAGACTGTAGATTTAGAGTGCAGTACGAGTAAAACCACCTGTGTTCCCTGTGCAATATCCTGCACTGCCAATTTGTAGCATCTTATTTGCACATGTAGTTTTAGTGTTGTTGTATTACGGTGTACTGAATATTGTATGTACAGGAATCATTTGAACAAATTAATCTTTTTTGACAAAATGGTCTAATTGGTCCAAAACTAAGGGCTTGAACCAGAAAGGGGCCTACGTGGGTATACTGCAGTTCTGTGGGTGTATGACGTCTAACCTGGATCTTGTTGATGGGGACCTTCTTCTCCTGCAGCTGGCTGACCATGCCCTTCTCCTCTGAGGGGAGCAGCAGCAGCAAGGCCTCTCCCCCCTCCTTGTACCTGGCTGTGCGGCCCACCCTGTGGATGTAGGTGTCTGCGTCCTCCGGGCAGTCGAACTGCAGCACCCAGTTGACGGCGGGGAAGTCCAGGCCTCTGGCGGCTATGTCAGTGGCCAGGAGCACAGCGTTCTGCTTCCTGAGGAAGTCGTTGTAGACCTCCACTCTCTTCATCTGCTGCTGCTTGCCATGTAGAGCCAGGACAGGCATGCCGGGTCTGAGGCGGCACAGGATCCGGAACAGGTACTGCACCTCCTTGCAGCAGGCAAAGAAGACAATGATCTTCTTTTTGAGGTGGCTCCTGATGAACGAGTAGAGCATGTTGACTTTCTGGTGGAGCTCGCACACCACGTAGCTCTGCTCCAGCGTGGCCGGCGTGCTGAACTTGGCCTTCTCGTGAACCCACACGTACTCCGGGTCTTTGAGGCTGAGCCGGGCCAGGTCTTTGACCGACTTGGTCTGCGTGGCAGAGAACAGCAGCGTCTGCCGGGTCTTGGGGAGGTTCTCCACGATGGCGTTGAGCGTATCCGCGAAGCCCATGTCCAGGATGCGGTCAGCCTCATCCAGGACCAGCATGTGGAGGTTAGAGGCGTGGAAGGCGGCTGTCTCGTCCATGTGCTGGAGCAGCCGACCTGGGGTGCAAATAACAATGTTGGTGTGCTGGATCCTCTCTGACTCGCTCTTCAGGTCTTTCCCGCCGATGATGAGCCCTGCGGAGAACTCGTGGTTCTTGCCCACCTTGCGGAGGACTTCGAAGGTCTGGTAGGCGAGCTCTCTGGTGGGGGAAATGATGAGAGCGCCGAGGCCGTCCATGGAGGTCCACTGCTGGCGGTACAGACACTCTAGTACCGGTATGAGGAAGGCTAAAGTCTTCCCAGAGCCGGTCTTTGCTGCGCCGAGGACATCTTTGCCTTGTAAAGCGAAGCTGATGGTCTGTCTCTGGATCTCTGTGGGTTGTCTGTACTGAGCCCCCTGCAGACCTAACAAGGTTTTCTTTGAAATAGGAAAGTCGGAAAACTTGATAGCCTCCTTGCTGTTTATGTCGCTGTACCTGTAGGGAAGTAACCATATCACAGACAGTTAGCTCCAATAGAAATATGTGCAGACTCATTTGGGGAGATGAAAAATGTATCATGCTACTGTTTGTTCTTGGCTCAGAAAGTCAAAAAAATGAAGAAGATAACAGACAAGACAGGGCGAGAGATACAAGAGCGTTTTTTTGACAGGGGTCTATTTTCAGTTTCACCTTTACAAAGGAAGGGACATTTGTATTGTAGAACACAGTTTAGGTGTTAGAGTTAAATGTTCATTTGAAAGATATCAGCTATTCATCATTTCTAAAATAATTATACTATAGCAAGTTCAATAAAAAATGTAAATGTACGTTTGATAAATCACATGTTATATTCAATACTCCCATTTTTCAGTGCAATCGTTAAATGGCGTAAACGGTCAAAAAGACGCAATTCAATGTCCAATTAATGATACTGCGGGAATCAGTCAGCATTTAAGTGGTTTTCAGTTAGGTAGTTCTGTATTGTACCCCTATTATTTTTTCACCGACCAAAATGCTTTGCGATGTCAGCGTGTACCTTATTGAAAACTAACTTAACATTGAAAAAACACTGGTATATACTCTACCTCAGGAACAAAACACATTCTGTAATTTGATGAAGAAAGCTGAAGAGAAAACATATTTTCTAGATTTGTGTCTGACAAATAAAGGAATCTTCTTTCAGTTATAATTTGCTTCCAATCTCATTTTGTTAAGAATACCGTGAGCTGTATACTACGGAAGCCGAGAACGGCCATGGATTTTCTCGTGATAACGAATTAATTTAATTGGTTATCACGAACAACCACAATGTTTGTGATACATTATATTAATGTGTTCGTCTTGATTTCAACCTACAAGAGCTGCCACGAACGGCTTCCGTAGCCACAGACTGTAGCTGTAGCCTACCGGTAAGATGAGAGGCTGACAAACTCCAAAAGGCTTTCGTTATATCGAGATAACGAGATAATAAGTCGTTATCACGAGATAACGGTGCATAAAAAAAAAAAAAAAAAATCCATGGCCGTTCTCGGCTTCCGTAGTATCCAATGGTAAGTTGAGTGTGCTTTTTTACGTAAGGAAAACAAGTTTAGGGCACGTGTTTCGGAGGCAGGAATGAGAGAAATTGATTTACGTTGTTGGAAGTGATAGAAGTGACAGAAGTGACAGAAGTGACAGAAGTGGAGAGTGCCGTTACCTGCTGACGAGCCTGTCGATGTACTCCCGTTCGACCTGCCACTCGGGCTTCTTCGTGTGCACCCTCTCTCGCTTCACTCGCGCTTTCGTCCTGTTGTACTTCTTCTTCCATTTCTCAAAGTTTTTGACGGGGTCGGCTCCGTCTTTCATCTTCGCGGGTTTCGGTTTCTTCCCGAAGGAACTGGAGCCTTTTTTCTCCATGACTATGGATTACTAAGCGAGAACAGAGAGTGGGAACACATCAGCAGCCCCCTCCGTCAACAGCGTGGAGAGACAGCTCTTCGTCGCGTGTAGCATGACGCAATCATCACGCGACACCACTAAGGTGTTGTTTTTCGCCCTGAATTTCATCTGCCAGGCACAGACATTTGCTGTGTTTAGAAGGTAATGAAAATGAAAGATTTTACTTTTTGTACACGTATATGTTGTTATCAGTAAAAAATTCCACATTCAGAAGAAAGACGTGCAAACTGCATCAATGTCACACCACAATACACCATAGGGATAATATATATGTATAAAGCTATTGATTTCTGTTGGTTTTTGCTGGGTTTTTAACTTTATTTTATATGTGAAATGAACAGCATTGTGGGTACATACTGACTGTTCTGTTAAATAAAAAATGATGCTACAAATCACAGCCATCGGAGCATTTATATGTGCTCTTTCTTTCTTAATATCTGATTGTCTGTTATCATATTTCTATCTATTTGTGACCCTACTGTGCCTCACTTTATAAAATAGATCAGCCTGAAGCTATAAGCAAATTCCCTTTAGTGGTAATAATAATAACTCATTTGCAACTATTAATTGATCAATAGTTTTTGAGTATTTTTAAGACAAATGTCAAAAATATCTCGGTTATATATTTATATGTATTTATTTGGGCCTTTTGTCTTTATTTGATAGTACAGCTGAAGATGGACAGGAAAGGGGAAATAGGGGATGGAATTCTGCAAAAAAAAAATAGAATATATGTTTGATATCAACCTATTAATATAAATATTTTTAGCAGAAAGTTTAAAACATCCCTGGCACAGCAGTGCTTCCCTTCTGGGTGTCAGCTAGTGCAGAACAAACCAAAGTAGGCTAACCAAACAACAAAAATATATTCCAGCATAATATATATTTTTAAAAAGTAATTCACAGCAGAAAGGAACAGTTCAAATGAGCAAATATCTGTTGATGACCTACAAGAAAAACATAGCAAGAGCTACCTGGGAGACTCAACCCAGGGCGACATTAACATCCAATAGGAACATGTATGTATTATAATAAGATATAATAATAATAAGAGCTCATGTAAAACAGCTCAATACTCCATGGTAGAACTAGCCAGTCTGATGTTAGTGGTAAGTTGCTAAAAAGGAATAAAACACGTATACCGCACTACGTTTATATACTTTGATTCTTTATTCATTTAGGCTGACTGCCGGATGTTACATCAGTTTACTGCTAACTTTCGTATTTCACTTGTTAGTTGTCTACTCAGCTGCCCTGCAGGAGAAAAAAGAAGAAGAGAAGCGGTGACACTTCCGGGTCACATGCCGCTTAAAAACCAAGGTTTGCGGTAATTTAAAGAATCTGATTTCAAAATAAAAGCTTGCAAAGTCGTGTCTAAGACCAAAACCTGAGGTCTAACCATAAGTGTTGGGCTAGTATACATACATACGTAATGTATTACTCATTACTCTTTGTAATATTATTACTTTACTTATCACTCCCTAACAGTAATGAGTTGCACTACTAAGTTAGTTATATTACTTTCCTGCTACTCCCCACAAAATTGGTTACTGTGCCCCTAATGACGATTAAAATCGAGTTTTGTTTGTTAGAATCAAAGTAACAGAACATTTCCAGCTGCTGAATGTAAACATTTTCATCTTCCAAAATACCTTCCTCCATGATTACAAAAATGTATCCAAGGATGTAATTGGATGGTTGGATTTCAAATTAGTAGAGGGTGACAACAACAGTAATATTGTAACTAATTCTTTTTTGGAGGAGTAATTGTAATATTATTACTGAAATGTATTAGTAATTAGTTACACTTCTAGTTACTGGGAAAAGTCCTGGTAGAGACCTTTTTCACAGCAGTCATTTTCACAATAAATAGTAGGACAAACACAGGTGTTACCAGTGATAATTATTAAGGATATGTTCCATTTAGTGTAGCAGAGGCTTTCCAGTCTGCACAATATCATTGTCATGTTTCATGTCAGAATGGCTGCTGTGAAAACCAGGACCCTAAAACTGAAGCAGCTAAATGGATTTTAGCCATCTTTCCATTTATTATTCACACTTGTTGTTTTTCTACTGTGACATCTCATCATATCTTTGGTAACAAAGTCCTATTGTCTTATCAAACAAATGTAAAAGATATGAGCTAAGTTCAATCATACTGAAGTCCTAAACAGTCATGATTCAAACATTTTTTAGTGTTGTTATCTTGAGATCACAAGTTAATAATTCTTTTTTATCCTGGGATAGCAAAGCTTGTTTATCTTGTTAGAACATGTGAATTTACCTTGAGAAAATAAAAGGCTGTTTTCTCAACATATAATTTTTTGTCATTTAAGGAAAGACTGTCCCACTACACTTCAGTGACAAAAGACATTTTCTCTTCATAAATGATCTCGTTATGTCGAGAAAACGAGCTGTGTTACCTTGTTTATCGCAAGATGACAAAATAATTAACTCAAGATAGCGACATAAAAAAAGTTTAAATCCATGACCATTTAGGGCTTCCGTACAAAAATATATCTGCTCTGAAAATATAAAATGTTGCACTTTATCAGTGGTTGTTTGGAATGAATGTGTCTGATGTACAGTTTTGTTGGGTTCCTGCTCATGTTGGTTTGGGGGGCGATGAGAAAGCAGTTGAGACTGCTAAGAGATCATTGAAGTTAAACGATGATGAAATAATGGCAGTTCCATTTGGAAAAGGCGAAGCCAAATCATTGATAAGGAAGGCAGTGACAGATTGGTGGCAGGAGAAGTGGGACACAGGTAGCAAAGGGCAACACATCATATCATATCTCGTATATATATATATATATGTACATATTATATATATATATTGTGTATATATATTACATTATGTATGTATGCACACCTTGCACAGGCGGAATATATGACACATATCTACATTATATCAACCAGAAGTGGTTTGGTCAACATTAAGACTCGGACATACTGGATTAAAATCAACTCTTTACTTAATATCAAAGTGTATTTCAGAAGATAAATGTGATGATTGTGATGTTGCTGGAGATGTTGAGCATGTCATAATGAGGGGTTGTAAATATATTCAAAGAAGAAGAAGTCGATAGAAGTGGTGAGTCGTTTTATTTTGAAAGATCTGACCGGAACACGTATGCGCTGTCACCATGTGAATTGACACCACCCTGCGAACACCAGACAAGACAGATGATAAACAAGTATTAGGACAGATTGTTTTCACAAACCCGAGTGAATATTCGTCCCCCGAGACTCGCAACATCCCCGCAGTCCCTATGCTATACAAGGCATGGCAGAGAGACAGGACAATGAGGTAACATTAGCTTCAGCATGCACAGACAGGCACAGCTAAAGTTAGTAATAATAATACTAGTGGCACCATTTACATTAGGTTGTTTGTCCCAACAGTCACAACTCGCCAAAGTCCCGTTTAAAGTGAACCATGTTACGTTAAGAAGAGCCGCCGGTTAGCGGAGCTGTGCTCACATAGGAGCTTGTGTTAGCTTGCGTTAGCTCAGCGGCTAGCAATAACAGCCAAAGCTGCAAGTTAACAGCAGCCCCGTTAGGTCACCGACGTTAGCTTCGTTTAGGTGGAGATATTTCAGTGGAGTGTTCAGATGAAGGCTGACAGATAACGGTCCATGCACACCAAACACCGCCTTAGTAAATACAGTTTTCATGCAGCACCAAATTAGCTAAATTAACAAAGGAATTTAGGGTTGCTTTGCTCAACGCTAACCATTAGTTATTGAATTATATTTGACGTTTTGTAAATGTTAGATGAGTTACCCGTGAAAATGCATTAAATGTAAATAAAATCTAACCTTTATTCACTGAGTTGCACTGCCAGCTTCCACATAGAATGTAGCTAACAGGAAGACTATCTACAAAAGGCGGAATTTGATGATACTCAGGTTGCTATACAGAGTTTATCAGTCTTTTCCAATGTTTATTCAAGCTTTTAAATACTATTTTTGCAGCTGTTTAACTGTGCAAGAAAGAAAACGTGATAGATCTTTAACTGCTAGATTTTTTAATTGGATTCTGGTGTGTTACCCAGTAAACTTACCGATTCAGGTCAGTGAGGAAAAAGTCCTGTGCAACATTTGCCTTTGATGTGCTGTATGTTTGTTCTGATGAGGTGGAGGAGGCTGACCAGATCTACCTGCTGATGAAGGACGAGTATCGGATCTCCAGGAATGTGCGTCTGGCCTGGTTCCTGGGTAAACTTAACCAAGTCATCTGGCCGGCCTCAAAGCCTGAACTGGTGAGTTAACCCTGCCTCTTTCTGTCCTCATGGTGGCCCAGCAGCACCGAGATCAAACAGTGGCTAACAGTAAGAGTGACACTCCTGACTGAAGTGGCGTATGCAGATATGGTTTGCATTGGTTTGACTATTTTATGCATAGTATGCTGCAGAAGAACCTCTCCCCACTGTCATATCCCCTTGCTGAATACGGTATGTTGCTGCTACGTGTACAACTCTCCACTGTCATCTGTCCCACTATAAGCAGTCATAATTAATGTTACTATAGAGAAAACTATAGTAAAGTGTAGCCAATTTGCTTGAGGCCCCTGAGACCATAAAACAGAAGAATCAGAGTGGGCAACACAAATGGGGTCCATTTACCTACATGAGCGCCACAGACAGATGTTGGCTGGGTGCAAGTGAAGAGCCTGCCAGTGGAACATTAGTGACATGGGCCTCTGTCCTCTGCATTCATTTTAACAACTGAAAAACAAAACAATCAATATACTTTATACTTGACCTGTTATTGCCTTCATTTACAGCTGAACTCAGAGAATGAACTGGACTTGCTGAGCATCTTACCTAAAGGATGGCAGCCGGATTTCCCCCCCACCATGTACCCCTACATGTTGGTGCCGTCCACTCGGGCCACCTTCCTGGCCCGGAGGTACCGCTTCATCATCGAGCTGGACCTCAGCCCCTCCACAGGGATCGTGGTAAGACTGAAATGGAATTCTACATGACTTTTCTTTGTTTTGATATCTGCGTTCTATATCAGCCTTCGGCAGCCCTGCTCTATCAATATTGGCATGGTAAAAAAAGGGTTTGACAGGTATTGCACTACTATTTATATCACAATTTCCATTTTCACTGAAAAAACCCTATTTAACCTATTAAAGTCATGATGATGTGAAATTTGTTGAGGTATCTCTTCAGAACTACAGTACTTTAAAAAAATATTTACCTTTATCAAAACATTGCAGATTCTTGTGATTTGGATGTTGCGCTTTGATAATATTTTGATTAATTCTGCAGCCCTTATATATACTATACTATAATGTACAGTATAATTATTGCCTGTGGTGATACTGACTTATTCTTTAAGTATGTCACCACCATTTTCACCAACATGATGCCAGAATAAACAGCAGGGGTTTCCTACCATTACTATACTGTTGAGGAATGAATGACTCTATATCCTACCCTGTGCCAAATGTTTCATATTTATTTAAGTGCAGTTTTTGTTAACAGCGAACTCACATTTGACCTGTTATTATGAGACTATTAACACAGATCAATATCTGGTTGTCAGCAGTAGTTCCACATGCTTAAGCTCTGTTAAACCACAGAAGTAGAAAGAATCACAAAACACGAGTTCTATAAAAGAGAAGTTTGAGTTTCACTTCTCTCTGCATTTTTCCATCCATATTAAGCTCTTTTCAGAGAGACAGACCATCATAACTATTGTGGTCCTTGCCTCTGCGTTTGAGTGGAACCATAGTAATCAGATGTATCATCAACAGAGGGCGCTGCACAATGCACAATGACATGTAGAATATGACACGGTCACTTTGGTTCCCAAGGGAAAACCGGATATTTTTTGGTTCCAGCTTGGAAACTGCAGGTCAGATTGCATAAAGGTAACATCATCTTCTCTGGAAAATACTTATTACAGACTGATCTAATCATTATTTGACCTGTTAAATTGGCTCTTTAACAGTACTTCCTAAACATGTGTTTGCATAAGAGATGGTGATTGAGATAAAACCTTCATTAGAGACATCATAAAATGCTCATTTAAAATCTCTACTTATACAAGGTACAAGGTTGTTTATTTATCCTTTTACAACAGAAAGTTGCACAACAAAAAGAAAGTTGTATTCCCTTCATGCTACACACATAGAGCAACATATAATAAGTCAATTAAAATACACCAATATATCGCTATTTATAAACATATATACATACATTGAAGTTCTTCCCCCAAGTGTCAACATGAGGAATGCACCGGTAATAACCAAAGTGAAGGGAGATTTTTCAAAAAGGTCTATGTTGTGTTTATGTAAAAATCATTATAATGAAGACTTATTTTTCTAATCAGTCCCTGCTGAACTTGCTGGCTTTTTTTGGGATTGTTGCAGCCTAAAATGCGTAGTTTCATGGCAGATTTTCTAAAGAATTGTGACGTGTGTAGGTGTTTTTAGCCTTTTTTTGGTAACAAAATTGTGGGACAAAGTGCAAAAATAGTAACTTTTTTGTATAATTCATCAAAACTAAAATTGTTTGTACGGGGTACATGTGGCACGTTTGCAGCTTCACAACTAGAAACAAGGAAGTGTGTCTGGTGACGTATGGCTGGTGCAGAAGGGGATTGATTGAATTTGCATTAATTGTATCTTCCATGATAATGCAGCATTGGTCACGTCTAATATCTATTATTCTGATATATATGGAGGCGGCTGTGGCTCAGAGGTAGAGCGGGTCGTCCACTAACCGGCAGGCACTGTGCATGGCAGCCACTGCCATCAGTGTATGAATGTGTTTGAATGGGGTGAGTGTGGCATGTAGTGTACAGCGCATTGAGTGGTCGAAAGAGACGCTATGTAAGTACAGTCCATTTACCATTTAATATCTATCATTGACTCTGTCTTATCACGTGCATCCTGCAATCATGAGTGTCAACATTAAAGCATTGCAGCATTCTCTGTTACAGTTGGACAGCTGTAGCTCTGACACTGAGCACTGAAAGGAGTCCTCGGTTTGTGTCTGAGGTGTGTTTCGCTGTCTGTTCTGCAGGATGACAGCACAGGAGAGATGATCTTCGATGAGGTGTTTCATGCCTTATCCAGATGTCTGGCAGGTCTGGCTCAGCCATTTCAAGTCCCTGGAACCGATCAACTTTTCAAGCCTAAGATCTTCATCACCATCTTGGCGTACTCATCAATTATTGGCCTCACCTCCCATCAGGTCATTACAGTAGCTGTTTCTGTTTAATGCTGTCTTTTACAGAGTATCCAAATGTCCTATAAAAGTTAAGGAGCCTTAGTAAACAGCAAAATGAAAAGCAGTTTCTCTGTGTCTCACGTGGGCTGTGGTCAGAAGTGTGCCCTATTGAACCTGTAACCACAGCCAACAGTGATTTCACAGGCTGCTGGAGTCCACCTGTACATCACTGCAGCAAGGTGAGAAGTTAAACCACTGGAGGTCAGCAAATGACCATTCTCAAGGGCTGTTCAGTTGCTCTTTAAAGAGTCATTTACTTGAGTCTACCTTGAACTGAATTGAACTCTCCAGGCCTTATTTAGCTTTACATTACAGTAGACATAGACTCTGATCATTTATAAAGAGGCTCAGTGTGTCCCTGTCCTTTATTATGGTTCAAGGACATTCTATATTTAGACATTCAGTAGTTTAAACAGCTTTTCTCTGCATCTTGTCCACACGGTTTATTTAATGTTAACAAAAACAATTATTGTGACTCTGCATTTTTGTCTGTGCCCCTAATTTTCTTAACTTAGACAAAACTAAAAATTGCTGTAAGCGCAGAGGCCTGAGTGTTTCCACGTTGTTGTAGTCCTCTGACGGTGTTGATTCCCCCTGCAGGTTTTGGTACAGGGCTGTCAGCTTGATAGAACAGACCTCAATGAGTTCCTGCATCACATCTATCAGCAGCTCCGAGCGGTGGAGAGCAACATCGCACAAGTCCTGCATCAGCAGCATGAACAGGCAAGTGCTGCTGATTGGTATTTACTTTATTTGAACATTAACAATGTTGTTAATGAAACAACGGACCGACTCTTGTCCACACTATATTTTGGAAGGAGGTCCAACATAGCTGCACTGGCCTCTGTGGGCTGAAAAGTCTGTTGAACCTCATTCACCACATTGTGTGGATCTCCAGGATTAGACTGGGTGCAGTTACTCTTTAAACACTGCCTCAGTTCTCCTTGCAAGTATGTGAAGTTGTGCCTGAAGCCCCGCTCGACTAGAGGAGGAGGAGGAGGAGGAGTAAAGTGTGACATCACATCTTGTGTATTTGTTAGTCTTCAGTGTTGATTAAGATATACACCAATGCAATTAGTTTCTTTCTTGTACCTTTAGTCTGTGGAGCCAGTCCAAAGCTCAAGTCTCAATAGCAGCACTTTGGATGAGCAGCCCCACAGGAAGCAGGGCATTTCCATGGTGTCAGCTGATATGGGTCTCGTCAGCATGGTACGCCAGGGCATCCTGGCCCTTCAGCTGCTGCCCCCAAACTCCAGTGCAGGTAAAGTACCCAAGTTGTCATTTATTTTTTCTATCAAGGGTTTGTCTGAGGGGTTCCTCCCTTGCTCAGTTGCTGAGTTGTTCCCTAGAACCTCTTTAAAGAAGTCCAAATACCCTCTCCAAATCCCTATTACATCAATAAATGTTTTTGTGCAGTCATTTATATATAAATCACAAAATATATATTTGTAAATCTTAGAGAGGATGCGCCTTCCTAGTATTTGGTTTGTTGTGCTAAACCAAAGTCTTAAGTTCCAGTTTTGAACCCAAAGTCATAAAAGGTAGCACACACAGATTTTCAGGAAAAAGTTGACTAATCTCAATTATACCAGTTAATTATGGCCATGTTGGATAATCATGCTAATGTGTGAGCCTATTAAGATACCACACAAAAAAAATCCAGTTTTAATCCAGGATATTAAGGTAACTAAATAAATAAAATATAAATAAATATAGAAAATGAAAACCTAAGGCTTCTCCTTCTGTAAGTAATCACCAATTTCCAAACGAATCACCATGAAGCAAGGCTTGCCAGGCTTCTTTCCTGCTCCTAGCAGAGGAGCGTACCAATCACCCAATTCACTCTCTTGGGCCAGTACACTGTCCGTCTGTGTGTTCAAGATAATTATTAAAAGGACCCCACACTTTCTTAAATCGCTAATTTTCCCTTAATAGAATGTCATTTTTTTCTAAGGATATACATGCATACAGTTCCTTCCGCTATCTACCAATACTTGGACTAAATACAGTTTTATATGGTAATGCTATACAAATAACCTTTCCCTACATAGATTCAGATATACTGGAATCCAAAATAAACAAGAGCTTGTGTACTGGAGGTAGGAAGCTAAAAACTGATACAGTGTAACCTCTCCTCCTCTCCTAAAAACCCAGGGTAAGATAAACAAAATCACATTGAAATACAAGCAATATGGGACAGAAAAATAACTACAAAATAAACAACAACAATCCATACTGTAATTGGGAAGTTAATGATGTTTGTTAGTTTGTTAAAAAGTTTTTTTTTTTTTTTAAATAAACAAAGATGATGATAGGAAATATTTAAGTGTGAAGGTGCTCCAAGTAGACTCATACAGTGTGTCATCCAAACTCACCAACTCTGTCTGCAACCCAAGAATTCTGTCTTTTGCATGTCTTTGTAGTCTTGATGTGATGAAAAAAGAGAGAGCAGTCAATTTTCATAGCTTCACACAGCTGACTCATCACTGTGTGAATTGTGTCAACAATCAATTTGTCTTTTAAACACTTCATAATTGATTTGTTTCAGGTATCATTATAATCACAGATGGAGTGACCAGTGTTCCTGATGTAGCCATGTGTGAAACACTACTGAACCAGCTCAGGAGTGGAACCATTGCCTGCTCCTTTGTGCAGGTAAGGGTGATAACATCTTAATGTTTGCAGCTCTGATTTTGTTACTAATAACTCAAAGCTATTCCTGAGACAGCCATTTCCATTGTGTATTATTGGTGTATGCTGTATTTGTGGGTTTGTGCTTTTTCTTTTAATCTTTTAGACATTTTTAGACATGTTGGGAGCTGTTTAAAAGGAATACTTGCATCATCGTGGTGGGTTTATCCTTAACTGCTTTTGTTACTTGGATGATGTAGAAAAAGCTGATATTTTAAGGATAATCTCAGACTTGTTAATTCAGGGATATAAATACATTCCATGGAAATGTTATATCCTGATATGCTCAAAGTCAAGACGGAATTTATAACCCAGGGTACCTCCTCCTCTCAAAGAAATGTTACATATGAGGGATTCTGTGACAATAAATGATGCATAATCTGCTTTTCTTCAAATTGCGTTTGTTCCTTTCCAGGTCGGTGGTGCATACTCCTACGACTGTAGCTTTGGCTACATACCCAACGTAGAGCTGATGAAGTTCATCTCATTAGCTACCTTCGGTTCATACCTGCCCAGCTGCCCTGAAGTGGACCTGAACAGCCTGGAGATGAATGCCTACCACAAGGCCTTCTTAACCTATTCCTTCCTCAAGACCCCTGAGTCTATGAACTCAGAGTACTTCTGTGGTGAGACAGCTATGCGTACTATAATTCTTGAAATTGAGTTTGTAGGTTATTACTTTACTGACACACTGTATCTGTATCTAAGTTTGTACTCACGAATTATAGGCCCCCTTGAACAAAATATGGCAGTTTTGTTGCTATAAGGTTTAACCAAAAAGTTTAATGTCAAACCTAAACAATAATGGGCCCAACACTGAGCCTTGGGGAACCCCACAGCTTTAAAATAGGGCTGCAACGATTCCTCGAATAACTCGAGTAACTCGATTACAAACCGTCCGCCACAACCGCATCTATTTTCACAAACCCGCCCCGCGCTATAAATAACAAAAAAAAACGGTTAAATATGTCTTATTTGTCTGACAAATGTGCTCGAAAACAAAGCCCTTTCGAGTGGCAACTGGAAAACTGCAACAACAAATTCAAATCTTAATTAAAAATAATATATATACGTTAAAAATAAAACAATAAATAAATCATAAATAAAATAAAAATTAGGCTCATTGTGTAGGTATTATTTGCAATCAAAAGAATAAAAGAACATATTAACCACATAAGGCTAAAATACAGAGCGTCCACCCTACAGGCTTACACCTGTTTTCTTAAAGTTCTTATAGGCACAGAATAGGAATTATAAACTTGTACCACATATGGCTATTTTACAGAAGCATTGGCATTAACGGGGGGGGGGCTTTTGTGATGTCAGGTCCGCAGGTTGGATTTACCCAACAGATGAGTAAGGCATGTATTGGACATATTAATCCTTAATGACCCGCCCCGCCAATAAAGTAAAACATTTCTTGACCCGAACCGACCCGAACCCGCGGGTAACCCCGGGAGAACCATAACAGCACGATAATGTTAAATGTTAATTTG